AATGCATCTTATGCTTTAACAGTCAGGTTGAAGTTGAAGATTTTTATGAGGAAAGACAATAAACGATAGCTCTGTGGTCATGTATGTGGTGGAAATGGTCAGTGCCTTAAACCCAGGCGCACTGGGGTAATTAATTGATGTGGGATTAGCAATAGAAATGCAAGGCTTGTCATATGGTTTGTGTTAAATGCTCCCCACTGGGGAGAAATCAACTTAGTTTCCTTGCATCGCCTAATCTCTGTTTGCATAACCCACAGTCACAGTTATATGCACAAACACACGCCCCCTAAGGACCCTTTAAAGTGTCTCTGTCAGTGTGCGTGCAGTGGGTCCCACTCAGGTCAAGGTAACGACAGGTCCTGGCCTTCACTGGGTGACCTTTGAATCATTCACAGGTTTTTTCCATGTCTGCAGGCATGCAGAGGTGTCATTGCAGCCTTTCTGCTTCCTGTCTCTGGCATTCTTCTTTGTTTAGGAGCCCTTTAAAAAACAAGACAGCTTTTTGTCCCCTCTGGTAAGGCAGAGGCGTGGAGTAAATGGGTCCCTGTTTCTGATTAGCCCAGCAGACCAGCAGAACTCATATCCCCAAAGAGAGACATGGGTTGCTAATAGTAGTTTCCCCTCTCGCAATCGAGTCTTCTGTGATTTCTTCAAACCTCAGGCTACAGACAGGAGTCAGCGCTAATTTACTGAAGACTTGAAAACTTAACCAAAGCTAATTGACATTACTGTGGTTCCCCACAACGGCAGTTTCTATTTTGTTCGGTGTACTGACGTATGATCTGTATTGCTAGTTGGGTATTATCTTGAGGTTGATAAATTCATACATATTAATTTGTGGCAATGATGAGTGGGCAACTTGAAATCTGCAAAATAGATTACATTGCTATTAGCCGGCGCTGTGCCTAGTTTGGTCTTTCCATGCAGGATTGGTTTTCACTGAAGCAAGACTTGTTTTTTTCCACTTAGGGATCAAACTCTTACTGAGGTACTGAGCAAGGTCATGGTAGAGATTGTGGGAAACAGTTTTTGTGTATGATGCACAGTATTACTGTGTTTTGATAGGTAAGGAAATATCTAGGCCTACGTGTGAGTTTATTTTTTCAAAATCGACTTCAATTGACAAACTATCAGTAAAGTCTTATGGGTGCTGACAATGCACAGACCAGGACGGAGACCCCTGGGTGCACGCCCTGGGAGTGTTGCTTGGCAGCCACATGGAGAGTTGAAGCTCACAGCCAAACGTCACACCCCACTGAACGGGATTGCGGAGAGACCCTGAGCGCACAAACAGCAGCTGCAGGTGTTAATAATCTGCAAGCTGAACTAAACAGCCAGTGAGTTTGTGCTTTTGTGCCTCTGTGAACGTTTAGCTGCTTTGATACCTTTGAGATCAATTTTAAATTGTGATATTTCGTTTTAAAGTGTACACAATGCACTTTCATCAAGATTAGAGGCAGCATAACATGTACAGTCATATATTTTCAATGAGGATCGTGTTTTTAATATTAGTCATCAAAGAGCAGTTTTGCTTTTGCACCTGTGAGGGCCCACCTGTGCAGGCACATGGACTCTGGTAAGAGTAAAAAAGCCAGTTTTACCTCCTTGAAGTCTCAGTCTTGTCAGGTTTAGTTTATGAAGCTGTTAGAAACACATGAACGAGGCTGCGACACGGTAACTGAAGCTCTGTGGGTTAAGTAAAAAGTATCTGACAAGGCTGGATATTTTTAAACAAAGATGAAATCCAATGAAATGTGTAATGCACTAAAACCTTTTGAGAGCAGAGTTTTTCATTTCTTATGTTACCACAGCTTGAAATATAGTTCTTTTCTTTAGCCTTTATTCCCCTGTTTGTGCCCGTTGTGATTTAGTACAACTGTCTGCCTAAAAACAACATCAGTAGATTCGGCTTCCAGTTTTAAACGTTTTATAGTCTTAGGTCAGAGACACTCAGCTGACATAGCTGGTTTGGGTGGTGGGCAACAAACACACTGTAATTAGCTGAGTGGCAAAATGAAAGGATCTCAGCAAGACGAGGGACGCAACACTTGTTTTCAGAATAAACATATGAAAAATAATAAAGGCTTGTTGCTTTCCCAGCTCCGAATTCATCAGTGTTATAGTCTTGGAGAGAGAAAAAGGTAACAGTATAGATAAAGAGCTGAAACTCTTGAAGTCACAAGCTTTTTCCCACAAAATACCTAAAATACTTGCAAACAACAGACAGTTAGTGAATTGTCTATTATCTCTACTCTGTGGTCAATGACACGCAACAGTGTTTGCACCACTAACGTAATGTTCTCATCTGTACCCGGGTCGTGAGAAATTCTAACAGGCCCATGATCCCTGGTTTAAATATATATTATATGACCTTGTTTTTCAGACATCCAGGTCTGTTTGGACTTTTTTCCCCCCACCTCTACCAGACATCCTTGTTTGTTGTTCCAGCAACCTTGTGAGAGTCTTATCGGTGATGTCCTTTTACTGAAAACCAACAGTTTTCACTCTTTTCCTTAATGTCTCCAAATTTCTGCAGTCATTTTTTTCCACAGCTATTTCTCCTTCAGTCCTGACTATGACCTGAATGGACCCCAGAAATTTCTTGACTGCAAGAGAAAACTGGGGCCAAGTTCAGCAAAACTTACTATTAGTGGGGATGTTGTTTGTCGGTGGAGAGAGAATTATCAGGATTCTAACCAGCACATTTTCTGAAAGGCTGTAACTGTACGTATATTTTTCTTCGACTGTTTGATATGTTATGTGCATTCTGTATCCTTGCCAGAGGCCTCTGAGATAGTTGAGTTTTACAGTTCCAGGGAAAAAATGTGAATTATTTTAGCCCTGAGATGCCGAAGCCTCTGCAGGTTGTTGGGATATCTCAGCTGACACGACTCTTTAAGTGTTGCTTGTAGGCTGGAGGCCGTGCCTATTGATTAGCAGATGTGGTGGTTGTCAAAGAGAGGGCTCGAAGGTGGGCTACACTGCTCAGCTTCCTGGGTAAAGCACATTCCAGGGTGCTGGCTTGGATGCAGATCTCAAATCGGGAAGGAACACTGCACGATGGTTGTGGAAGCTTGCAGTGTTTGCCCATCCATGCTACATGTGTCTTTCAGTTTTCCTTGAGTTCCAAGGGAGGGTTTTTTGTTGTTGTTATGAAATATCCATTAGCATGTTATTGGTCTGTTTACAAGTGACAGTAAAATATAGTGAAAGGCTGACAGCCGAATGGGTCATGAAAGGCTTTTAATGACCACGTTTTAGGCGTTTTTTTTGGCATTGCATTGCCATTCCTTTGATGTAATTTCTGACAGTATTTGAGTCTTTGAAACCTCATTCGTGTTCAATATTTTAATTTAAAAAAAAATATCAGTAAGAGACCAGAACATTTTTCTGTTCAAACCTGTGGTACTTGCCTGTGTTGCCCAGACACTAAATACATGTAAAAGACTCTGTACTGTAAAGTGGAAACTCATTTGGTGAACTGAAAATTGTGTGGTCATGATTTAAAAAAAATGGACTTTTGCTTTTCTTGTGAAAAGCTGAAGGATTTGGATGTCTTTTTTTACCTGATAGCTGTATGTCTTTTTGACATTCAAAAATGCCACCCTGTGGGAACCAAACTGCTTTCTGCTGCAGGAAAGGTTGCCAAGGTTTCCTCTGAGGTTTTTCATTTCTGGCATTCAGAGTCAGGAAGGTAGTAAAAGAGATGCTTTGGTACATGATTTCATTTGTGTCAGCCCCAAGGTCTATTTTTTAATCTAAAGTTTACACTAAAGGTTTTTTTTTTTCATTCTAAGATACTTTTTTTAAAATAGCAAATTATAACTAGAACTATAAAAAATACATTTATTGAGCTGTCCTTGTAAAATTTTGCAAAGTTGAGTCTTTAAAACCCAGTAGACATGTACTTTCTGGCCCAAAATAAATTTAATAAGGGTGTTTAATGTTTTAGCAGTAAAACAGGGGTATATCGAAGCAGTATAGTTTAATCAGACGAATTTAAGAAGATCAAAAGTTCAGACATACTGAATATTCAGTGGATTCAGGATTTTTTCAGGTCTAAGAGCAAGGTTTTGCCTGATTTGTTTAATGACCGTTAATTTAATTATGTGTATAGTTTAAAACAAAAACCACTACATCTACATGTGGTCAACCACAGCAACCTGTGGTTCTGAGTAAAGCCACCCAAGCTCAGAAAGTGTGAATTAGTGAGACAAGATGAAGCAAACCAATTGGTAAACACAGCTAATCGTCGGTGTTAAGAGTCATATTGCAATACATTGGTTGTTTAGTAGCCCTCAAAGCTTCAGATCTTTTCCTACACAAAAGTCCAAAAGACACTAGCAGAGTAAGAAAATGTGGTAAGCCTAAAGTCAGTGGGTCTATGTTGGGAGTGTCAAACATAAGGCTCAGGGGCCGGAATCGGTCCAGCAAAGAGTCCAGTCCTGCCTGCCTTTGAAAAACTTGAGGCAGGGCACAAATTTGAGCTTTTTAACTGTATTTCTTTTTCTTATTGATACAGACGTCCCCACGTGCTGTGCGTACTACACTAACGTTTAAAAAACTGAGCACTTTCTGTTAATTAACCAAATCTTTGTTTAATAGTTACAGGCAGTCTGGGCAACAAGCCAGCGGTAATTTTACACATTTATTTTTACAGTTTAATCGTGCTGACAGATTTCCTCCATTCACTATAGCAGCACATCTTTGTCATGCAGAAAAACTGAGAGGTACAATTGAAATTGCTCTGCTTTTTCTTATATGAAGGTATATCAGGGATGAAATGTGCAGCAAATCCTCTTTACACTGACAAAAAGGGCAGTTTCACTGGTCCATCCCACTCAAGATTAAGATTTGTGCTGATTAGGCTTGACGAATATTGAAAAGGGTTATGAAAATACCAGACTTTGCCTAGATCAAGTCGTTCTTTCTGTTTCATGGCATGCAGAAGTGGTCGTGCTTTGTAAACGCAGTAACAAGGTTGTGGTTCTCCTCAACAGGTGACGTTCATAGCCATAGTGTCCAAAGAAGATTCCCGACTGAGGGAAACCCCCAGCCCCAGGGACCTGGCAGTGGTCTCCCTAATGCACAGGATGAAGTTTTCAGGTTAAGCCTTGCCAAGGGAGTGTCCATGTCTCTCCCGTCCTCACCTCTGCTGCCTCGGCAGTCCTACATGATGCCCTTGCGCAGTAACAAGCGATCACCAGGTACTGCTTGATTAAATTCAGTGCTTGCTTTTCCCCCTCTACCGTCTAATTCTCTTTCCTAAAAGTTGATCCTTGCCATTTTTCATATTATGAATATTTTTTCAGATCTGTTGTAACCTTTAATGTTCCCAAGTTGAGTGATTTTGGTTATTTTCAGTCTTTCTATTTTTTGAAAACTCATCCAGTCACTTAAAATAGATCACACGTCAGGTTCCTTTGCATAACTGCTGACAGCCATCCAGGAGTGCTAGTACAGCTTTTAACATATTTATCTCAAAAAATAGAAATTGTGAGCTTTGTCACTCTTGGAAAACTAAGTCACACTGTATCGAAAGTAATGATAGCTGGACTACTCTGGATCCCAGCAGTTACTCTGTGGGTGCAGTCTGTTTACAGAGAGTTGTTTTTTTCCACTTCACCCTTGTATTTGATCGCCTTATGTCGAAGAGGAGGCCTCCTGCAACTTCACTGTGTGTTTACACTTTGCTGGCTGATAATAGGTGTGTGTTTACATTTGATCCAAATCCTCCAAAGCTGCTTCTGTCCATTGCGTTGAGGGCATCTTTGTCAGCAGTTGTGGAGAGCTTCAAAGCCAGGAATACCTAATTGTGGCGGAACTCGTTTTAACCGGAGTCTTTGTATTTTGGAGACTTTGCAAAAGGGAGAGAAATCCTTTAAGTGGCCATTGTGGTCCCCACTCGCATGTGGCACTCATCTGTGGGCTATCAAGCCATTGTTTAGAGTGGTTACAGCTTTGGTCTATTTAGCGTAAAGATGAGGGGATAGGAAGTTTGTAGGTTGTGAATGTCTCTGTGAAAAAAATAATTGAATTAGTTCAACTGCAGTTTTAAGGATTGAAGATCGCATCGTATTTCTTTGCATTTCTTAGGAAATCCTGTTTGCTGTAGCATTTTTCACTGTTATGCACATTTTATGCAATTGTCCCAAATCCCAGTACTGAAATAATCCTGAGACCGTGATGCAGTGCATTATGCAGATGTTCAGTGGAAACTGAAAACAATTGCAAATGTGCTTTCTTGTTTAAAAAACACAAATGCCCTGCGAAGTAGAGTTTTGTTTGTTTAGCTGCCACTCAAGTTAAATGTGTGTCATTTTCCTCGGATGACTCAGGGTTTGCAATGAGCGCTTGAAATGAACGAGCACGAGGGGATGAAGAGAGCTATGAGGCTGGGTTTGTGAAGGAGAAAATGGCCCAGGGGACAGGGGAAAGGGGACACTCATTAAAAGCATATTCCCTCTTGGGGTGCTCTGAGGCATGAAAAAGGAGGAAAAAAGTGGAGGGACAAGATAGGATTTTATGGAGGACCACCAGCAGGAGAGGGCTGGGGGAGGGTCTGTTGATTCTCCTCCACTGTCCTCGCAGATAACTGTGAAAACCCATGGACGAGAGTTATTAAACACGCTGCAGGAAGGGTCTCAGCTTTGTGACAATAATGCTGAATTTACCTTTAGTACAGATCACTCTTGAAACTAGCATGTGTTCATCTGAGTTACAGTAATCCGTATGCAGATGTTTGTAACAGCGAAGCATGAATTATTGGTAAATTCTGACACAAACATAACGTTTACAAGCGTCTGGTCCTGTTTAATCAGAGCCAGAGGATGTTTTCATCCAGCAAACACATGTGGTGATCAGTCACTTCACAACAAAGGGAACAGTGTTTTGGAAATGTATGCTTGACCTGCAAGTTTGCTACAAGACACAATACACAATATACAGACGTTTCTTGAAGGCGAGGGGTGTACTGCAAAGTGAGATTACTAGTTTGCAGCTGTCACCTTAGAAAAAAACAGCAGCACTCAGTGATAAAATTGTTCACTTGGATCAAAATGCTTATTTTAATACTCCCAAAAGCAACAATTTTCTGTAAAACTGTTGCTTTTTACTGTTGTATTTTTGTGTTATTTACATATTTTTATCACCAAGTTATAACTTCTCTCATTTAAGTAAGGGACACTCATAGGGATCGTTTTGAGCAGAGGAAGAGTCACATGACCTGAGAAACACCTATTTTTATATGAGAGTGCAAAGCACTGGAACACAAAGCCTGGCTTAACTGAAAAAGTTGCTAACCACCGTTGTGATCCCTGTTATCTCCAACTGGGGTTTAGGTTTTTTCAAGCTAGCTTGACAAAGAAGGGCAAAGAAAGCCTGACTGTGTTGAACTTCATTTGTAGTGTGTAATATTTCCTGCAGCTTGACATCTCTTACAGAATAAACTGCTTATTATATACAAACTTTGATAGTTCACATGTCATAGATCAGCTTGTAATGGCTATAATCTTAGTTTTGAAGCTAGATATTCATTTTTTTTCCTCATCAGAAAGTAATAGAAACAATCCATGAAGCTTCTCTAAACAGAGAGAGTTGCTTTTATTCATGTGGCACAACGGTAGTGATTTCATATAACATGAATTATTCAGTGTGTAGAGACGAGATTGATTAGATGTAATAGAAAACAATATTGCTTCAGACAGGTGAGCCAACACATTTGATCTCCCCTTTTAAAAAATTAGTTTCGTGTTTTCTGATCAATTTACTAAAAGGGCATAAGGATATGTTCTTATAACTACATAAAAGATCTTTAAATGGCTATCAACATATAAGTGCCATGTTAAATAAAATAAAGCCCGACCTGTTATATTAGGTCCCTTTACATAGTTGACTTGATGCAAAATGTCCCCATTTATTCTTCCTTTTTCTATCACTGTGGGATTGTTTGATTGAAGTCATGAGGAATATTTATCATATGTATATGACCTATATCTGAATACACAACGCTGCCATTTAACTGATTGATTAATCCAGCGATGTTACCTATTAGAAGACTGAAAAGGGCCAGTATATCTAATTTTATTGATATATACATGGTGTGTCTGATAGCAAGGGTTAGTTGCTTAATATGCTCCATCAAAGATCTTCTTGTTTTCTTTGAGGGGCCTTTTTTTTTCAAACCATTACTTTGCCATTGTTGGGGAAAGGCGTTTGTTTATTTTTTAACTTTTTTTTTTTAATGGTGTGAAACTACTCCTGTCAGCTAGTTCAGGTACACCGCATTCATTTATACATGCAGTAAATCCTTAAGTGCATTTTTTCGCACATCTGCTTGGTCTCCCTCCCGTGCTGCACATCAGCGCTGCACGGGCAGGGGAAGTGGTTTCACAGATTCAGAAAGCATTTTGCGGCTGGCCTTCATTTCCTGACACATTGGATAATCTACTGCAGTTTGGAAGGCCCCGGCTAAGTGGTTGTTCTTTTCTTGAAAACTTCACAGGGGACAACAGAGAAACATTGAGTTAATTAGGAGTGTGACGGATGCCTGAGCCGCAAAGTCTGGTGGCGTTGAGTGGCACGGCTTTGATCAGCTAAGCCCAGAGCTTAGCCATGAAACAGCGCTCTGACATGTGTTGTACAGCACCTAGACTTTACTGTCTGTTTAAAGAGCCACTCGCAGGCCCGTGAGGTGATTATGCTCTTTTGAATGTACCTGTCTTGCCTGTATCCCTCTTGCGCTACACGACTGTCTTCTTTTCATTTTTATTTTTTTTAACATGCTGGTTGAGATAGAAAATTGGGTTCAATTTTGTTCTTGGGTTTTCGGGGGAGTTTTTTGTTTGTTTTTGTTTTAGTAGTTATAAATTCTTTGTGCCCCACCTCGTGACATTCTCCTGGGTATCTCCACAGTGACCTCCTCTGGTTATAGAAGGTTATTGTCCCATTTTTGGATTAAAAAGCCTAATGGGCTGCTGATTGAGTTACGGGGGAAACCCTGCACCCTTGTTGCATATGCAGCAGCTTGCAGCATCGGTCACAGGAAGTGTTTGAAAAATCATAAATAGCTGCTGAAATATTTTAGTCCCGATGATTTCCACTGAGAGGCTGAGGAATGATTGAGGCTGAGTTGATATGGACGCTCTTGTTGTACGTGCGGTAGCTGTGTGACCTTCCTGCAGGTAGATCCGTGCTTTACCTCTTTGTCAGCCTGCACTGGCTCATAAAACAGCTATTCGCATTATTGTATTGCTTTTATGGGCAGTGGATCATTTTAATTGCCAAATATGCACTGTGGTCCCATGGGGATTGTTCTCTGGTAGGCTCTCGCGTGTATCAAAATAGGTTAACTGTTCTGATGGAACGTTGCCTTTTGGGGGCTTAAGGGATGATTAATTTATTGATTAGCTGTGCAGGCCTGCAAATCACCGCCAGAGAGTATGACATGTATTTGGCATAATCTCTCTACCTAGAAAAGCTTGGAGACTCGTTATTTTCTAACATCCATGTGCGAAGGTCACCTTGCTGCTACCATTCCTGCTTAGACTCCTTTGTTTTCTCTTTCTCTACTGAGGAACAGTAGCTTTTGGCTTGCCAGACCTCGCCATGTTACGTGTGTGTGTGTGTGTGTGTGTGTGTTTGTGTAAACTGATGACTTCATTGCTAGTGGTCTGATCCCTTGGCCTCGTTGTTGCTTATCTCCTCTTTATTTCTATTTTGTGGCAGTAGCTGTGCATCAACAGCATCCAGGCTGCTGTCTCTGAGTGGTGGCTAACCGTTTGAGTCATTGTGCAGTGTGTATATTTTGTTCCTGTTTTGGTTGGTCCCATAACTTTAGCTCTGGCTGTAAGCGATAATAGCTCTACAGGCCACATAAAAATGTTCTGAAGATTATCTTTAACGTCTTTTCCAGAAAGATCTCAAATACCGCAGACATTAGGTAATGGTAATTTTGTAAAACACTTCAGGATGTCTACATACATTTGCACGTTTTCACAAAGCCTCATTGATAGGAAGCAGTCATTAACAAGATGTTCAAGTTGTTTCTGGTTTAGCGAAAACCACCTTGTCTAACAGAAGGCTGTCGTTTGCAGTTATACAGCTGCGGATTATTTTGAAACAGTTTTCACATTATTTTCAGCTTAACACAAACAATATTAAAGGAAACATGAAGGCGAGTGAAGGTTTGATATATCAGTCTTCTGTC